AAAGGTAGACGTTTTATAGCAAGGAGGGGAGTGATTAACTTTTCAGTCTAGGAGCGGAGGTCCCTAGGACCATCAAGGGAGAAGAGCAGAGAGTGGGACCCTACCCAGAGAAGCACTGATGCCTGAAATGGAGGCAGACATGTTGACGTGGAGCAATGGAGCAGCTGGAGACTTTAGATCCAGAGAGGGAGAGCAACTGTGTACTGAAGACCTGAGGGGTACGGGGAAGGATTGCATGGAGGGGATTGTAACCATGGCAATACGATGATATAGGATAGAATGAATGTAAAACTAATGTTCTCCCATATAAACTATCACATAATTCACATTTAAGAAAAAAAATAAAGGGGAAAAAAAAACCCCCTCAGTATTTGCCACAAATAAGACAGATGTGCATGATGCAATAATAAATTCAGCATTATATAAGAGGACTGCAGAAAGTTTGTGAAAAAATTTCATTGCTTTTTTCCCAATTTTCTATGTATTTTTTGAAGTCCTCTCATATACCGCCCCCACCCAAGTTTGGGCTTATGTTATGGCATTCAATGCCCTTTACTCATGTGAAGAAAATACTGATGTTTTTGTTACTGTCATATAATTTATATCTTTTACAAACATTTAAATGTTTTTCAGTGTTTTAAATTCTAAATTAAATATGAATTTTTACTAATTCATACTAAATCAAAGGAAGTCCTATTAAAACACAGTTGAAAATACAAAATAAATCATAATGATGAAAAATAAGAGTTTAAATAAAAAGTAAAGAGATAGCTTCATTAACAGCTCTACAGAATTTCACTTACCCGACAATTTCCCTAAAGGTATACCAAAAAAGTATTTTCTTGCATCATCGTGATCACTTGCTAGTTTAGTGTCAATAAAAATGAGTCCAATTCCATATTTAATATGTAAAACTGCTAAATTCACCTTCAGCTGTCCAACTACATTTCCTATTATATGATCACAATTTAGAAAACACCATATTTAAGAAAAAAAAAACAAAAAACCAGAAAGAAATCCAGTTGACCAACAAGGTAGAACAGGCCTGACTAAAGATTCTCTATAAAATAACTATCTGCAGCAATCCAGTACTCTCTCACTTGCACTGTTTTAGCTTTCTCCAGCACTTACTACCATATACCACAGTATATATTTCTTTATCATGTTTTCCCCATCTAAAATATAAATTCCATGAAGGTAGGTACTTTTATTCTGCTTTTCTCCAGTTCTTAGAACACATTTCCAGGCACAGAACTATGGCCTGATGCCTGATGAATAATTATTTCATTCTAAGGGTCAACATGGTATAAGCAGTTTGAGCTTGACTTCTAACCTAAAGGTTAGTGGACTGAGTCCTCCCAATGATGTCAGAAAAGAAAGGTCCAACAGTCTGCCTCTGTAGAAGTTTCCATCTAAGAAAGCCCGATGGAGCAGTTCTACTTTACAATACATGGGATGGGGTTGTCATAAATTGTGACAGCCTTGAGGACAATGAAAGTTTTGGTTTGTATGTGCTAGGCCCTGAGCTAAACAAATCAAAACACTTTGTACATGCTGCTAACAATCACAAATGTTGTCACTCATTTGTTTTTTTGTGGTGCTCAGTGAAATGCTTGAGGACAGATGCTATATCTTTAGATTTCTCTATCATAGCACCGAGTAAATCTAACAGAGGAAGGGTTCAAAACACATTTAAAAAATTTTAAAATATTAGTATTAAGTGGAAATTTTCATTCATATATTTAATTTTCAAGCACTTTTAAGTTTTAGAAGTTTTACCTTACAGGGACGACCACTTTTTTCCAAATATGCCTCAATGGTCTCTCCTGTCCAAACTGTCTTCTTACAATTTGGTCCTGAAACTCCTCCCACTGAGTGGCTCACTCACTTTCAAACAGAGATCTTTGTGACACAAAGCAATTTCCTGTGATGAGCACTGGAAACTGGCTTGGGCAGTGCTAACCCTAGCAATGCATAAGTGATCAATGACACAAATGACAACTGTTTCTACTCTAGCAGTTCTCATGAGTTTCCCAGTTGGCAGTGTTGCTAAAATAGTGTCAATCAAAATTCCTCCATTCTCATTTCTTTTAGAAAATCAAGGCTATATGTGAAGCATTAAGTTTCTCATTACAAAAGGCTACAGAACTCTAACTTGGCTGTATCTCCTATAGGGACAGTATACGACAGAGTACTATTCATCATGTACACTACCATTCTTAGTTTACTGTTAATATACAAACATATACTAACACTTCTCAGTGTTAATATACAAACACTTCTCAGTAGAATCCCTATGCTTTTTGCTCTGGTAAATCATATTCCTGATACAGGGCTCTTAAGATTTCTTTTACCCCCTTTGTAAAACACCATGTTTAAACCAGGCATTGGCAAACTTTTTCTTAAATTTTTGGCTTATGGGGCTAGAATATCTCCACAGCAACCATTCAGCTATGTGACTGATTTGTGTAAGCAGCCATAGATGGCATGTACACAAATGAGTGAGGCTGTGTTCCAATCAGATTTATTTGAACTATTTTTTAATTAAAAATTGTTTTGAATTAAAGATTTTTTTCCTATCATATTAAAAATGAAACTAAAGATTTTTAAGAAACCAGAAATTGACAGAACAGGAGAAAAATCTGGTTTATGGTGAAGAGGTTATTTTGTTCATCAGTACAGTGTTACCAGTATAAATTTCCCACCATTTTTATTTAAAAAAGAAAAAAGATTCAATTCTTACTTGGACTTTGTTCTCCCTTCTGCTCTTGCTTCTTCATTTTTAAAAGCACGGTGTCACTAACCAATGTACAGTCCATGTCTACTGTCTCTCCTCCTCCTAATCTTGACTGACTGCCATCCTGAACAAATAAACAAATACCCAAATTGAAATGATGATTCCTTGTGATCTTTTATTCCCTTTTTACATTTCAAAGTTGGAATAAACATTTTTTTCCCCTTTAGTTTTCTAAAGTGATAAAGAGAGGTTTAAAAGGTATGTGATTATCTCAAAGTAACAGGACTGATTAGGATAGGAGACTGATTAACAACTCACTAGACTTAAGGATCAAATGGGCTTTAGTTTCATGTTTTAACTTACCTTTGTATCTATTACAGTGACATCCATTTTATACTGAGAAAGGTCTGCTCCTGGATCCATACTCCACTGGATATTTTCAAATGATGTATCTTAAATAAAAAAATACACAACTGGTTTCTAAAATTCTTATCACTTTAAAGCACTATGTTATTGCTAAGTGCCACTGAGTCACTTCCAACTCACAGAGACCCTGTATTGGGTTTTGAAAAGAGCAGGTGGTGGGTTTAAACCACTGACCTTTAAGTTAGCAGTCCAGTGCTATCCTACAGCACCCCACTAGAATGCCTTAAAACACTACTGTTGTTAAGTGCCGTCGAGATGGTTTCAACCCATAGCGACCCTGAATAGGGTTTCCAAAGAGTGACTGGTGAGCTTGAAGCACCGACCTTGCAGTTCAAACGGCTTTGCAGTCTGGCACATTAACCCACAGCGCCACTAGGGGCCTCAGAATAGGGTGAAATTTACTCAAATTATTTATGGTAAGGGATTTACAATCTGGAATATATGAAGAACTCAATATATTCTGAATAGACAGTTCTCCAAAGAAGATAGAGTTTCATTAGACATCAAATCCACATTGAGATATCACTTTACATCCACTAGTAGCGTGGCTATAACCAAAAAGACATAATAAATGTCCTAAGGATAAAGAAAAACAGGAACCCTCACACCCTGCTGGTGGAAATGTAAAAGGGTATACAGCTAGCCTGGAAAACAGTTTGACAGTTCATGAAAATGTTAAACATACACTTTAAAACGTCCACCAGCTAATGACTCTTGTTGCTGCTGTGTGCCGTTATTCTGGTTCCAACTCACAAAGATTCTGCATAGGGTTTTTGAGGCTGTGGCAATGTTGGTTAGTTTCACTAAACGGCTAACTGCAAAGTCAGTGGTTCAAATCCACCAGCAAGTTCCTTAGAAACTCTATACAGGGTTGCTCTAAGTCAGAACTAACTCGACAGCACTTAACAAAAATATTAAATCTTTACTAGAGCAGAAAGCCTCATCTTTCTCCTACAGAGTGGCTGGTGGATTCAAACTGCTGACCTTGTGGTTAGTAGCACGACACATAGCTCACTACACAATCTTGGTACAACCAGTTAATGAAGTGTGGTTCAGCAACAAAAAGGAATGGAGTACTACTGGTATACACTTTAATAACTGAAAACATTATGCTAACATTATGCTAAGTGAAAGAAGTCACCAGAGATCTCTGTTATGAACTGAACTGTGCACCACAAAAACATGTGCTGTAAACCTTAACCCCAATACCTGTGGTTACAATCCCTTTGGGAATGGGTTTTCTTTTAAGTTAATACAACAGTATTTTCTTAAGACATAAAGAAATAAATTAAGCAGGCAAGCACAAACGTGGTAAATTTTTGCCAGGAACTCTGGAATAGAAGCTGAAAAGAGACAAGTACTTTCCCCCAGAATGGAAGGAGGGAGGGAGAGAAATGGAAAGGGAGAGGGAGAGAGAGAGAGAGAGAGAGGAGAGCGAGTCAGCACCTCCCAGTAGAGCCAGTGCCCAGAATTTGGCCTGGAATTGACTTCTATCCTCCTGAGCTATAAAGCCACCTATGTGTGGTATTCTGTTATAGCAGCACTAGAAAACTAAGATAATTGTATATTGTTAAGATTCCAATTATATGAAAAGTTCTGGCAAATTTATAGAGACTGAAAATAGGTTTAGGGTTATCACTGGCTAGGGGTGAGGAGAGGGGAATGGAAAGTGGCTGCTGATGGGTATATGCTTTCTTTTTTGGGCGATAATGTTCTAAACTTAAGACTTTGGTGAGGGTCCTACAACTCCGTTGGTTAAGTATGCTGAAAGCATTGAACTGTACCACTTTAATGGGTGAATTTTGTGGTATGGGAATTTTATCTCCATAAAATTGTTATTTAAAATGTTCAAAGTATAGCATTGTCTAGAGGAGCTCATAATGTATATAGATATAATACATTCAAACTATATAATACATTGTTACAGAACATAAAAACAAACACCTACTGTCACTGAGTTGATTCTGACTCATAGTGACCCTATATAAGTCATTGTTAAGGACCTATATAGGACGCTGTATGTTGTTAAGTGCCGTTGAGTTGGTTCCAACTCAGCAACCCTGTATAGGGTTTCTGAGGAGTGGCTTGGTGACTATGAACCAATGACTTTGAGGCCGAGTGCTTATTCTACTGTGCCATAACAGAACTCCAGGACCCTATATGTTGTTGTTGTTGTTAAGTGCCGTTAAGTCAATTCCAACCCATAGTGACCCTGTATAGGGTTTCCCACAAGCATCCGGTGAGCTTGAATAGCCGACCTTGCAGTTCAAATGGCTTTGCAGTCTGGCACATTAACTCACAGCGCCACACCAGGACTCGGACCCTATATGTTGTTGTTGTTGTTGTTAAGTGCTGTCAAGTCGGTTCCGACCCATAGTGACCCTGGATAGGGTTTCCGAGGCTGTAAATCTTTATGGGAGCAGAAAGCCTCATCTTTCTCCCGTGGAGCAGTTGGTAGTTTCGAACTGCTGACCTTGAGGTTCGCAGCCCGATTCGTACCACTATGCTACCAGAGCTCCTTAGGAGACAATAAATCTTTATGGGAGCAGACAGCCTCAGCTTTCTACCATGGAATGGCACTGCAGTTAGAAGCCCAACTCCTAACCCACAGCATTACCATGGCTCCTTATAGACCGACCATACTGTTGTTGTGAAGTGCTGTTGAGTCAGTTCCGACTCACAGTGACCCACCTTGTGATTAGCAGGCTAGTGCTTATCCTATAAAGGTAGGTATTAAAAATTTTCAATTTATTTTTCAAAAAGTTTAAGAGTAGAAAAATCACAGGTAAAAATAAATCAATGAGAATCAATCTGCAAACAAATATGCAAGAAGAAATTATATCCGCCCCCAAGACAAATCAACCTAGCCAAACAAATACCATGTAATACTTAAAGTCACTTGTTGTTACATGCCGTGGAGTCAGTTCCGACTCATAGCTACCCTGTACAGGGTTTCCAAGGCTGTAAATCTTTACGGGAGCAGAAAGCCTCATCTTTCTCCTGTGGAACAGCTAGAAGTTTAGAACTGCTGACCTTGAGGTTTGCAGCCCGATTCGTACCCATTACACTACCAGAGCTCCTTAAAGTGGAATAAAAATCTTACGCGTAGTGTACACACCTTGGCTGTTTTGTAGCGACTTTATTTTGGCAATTCTACATGGATTTAACTGAAGAACCGAGGTAAGTTCACAGGCTCCGTGGACTGACCTGGTTTTCATTTTCAGTGACTCCTGAGAAGTAGCACCCTAAAACAAACAATTATTAGCATCCAAATGATGAAATCACAAAGCCATTTTAAGAAAAAATCCTTCAACATTTAACACAAACCTTCATGTCGTCATAAAGATTCTCCGCCTCCAAACTTTCACGTGGATGTAAAGGAATTTTGAAGACAGGGTTTTCTTCTTTTATTTGTAATGGTGTTTTACTATCTGGAGCGGATTTGCTCAAGGACTGAAGGATGCATTCCTGTAAACAGGGATCCTCTAGGGAATCTTTTGCTAGCACGTAGCTCCCATTCAAGGCCTTACGACTCGAGGAAGAACCCTTTGGAATGGGTTTCAAAGCCTCATAGAGAGTCACTTGCCTAAGTCTGTTCTTAGAGGCCTCGCTTCCTTGGCTTTTCTCTTGACGTTGACTAGCTGAAAACCGATCAGACAGGTCCAGCGGTTTATCCATCACATAGTCCCCTCTGGTGGACAAGTCACTATCCATTGGAAAAGGGAATGCATTTTCTTTGTCAAATGAAGCTTGGTGGCAGCTTACTTCATGCTCATTTTCTTCCTCAGTTTTCTTTCTTTTGGATATTCTGCTTCCAAATGGTTTCAGGAGCACTAAATGTTTATCAGTATTGGCATCTTTAATTGGATTGGTACTATCTTGTGAACCTATGGATTCAGTTACACTTTTATTTACAAACACCTGTTTATTAGAACACGACTGGCTAAAGATCACTTTAGATGCAGGATCATGCTGCAAGAAAAGGCCACTATTTTCAGATTTTGATCTAATTTTCTCTGGTCTAGAATTAGAAGTGTTATTAAAAGGGGCTATTTTCAGATGTTTTTTTTTCCCAAACTCAAGAAGAGAAGGTGATAAAGTGGTATTAAAACCTAAACTATTCTTCACATTAGAGGTGGCTCCAAACACAGGCGATGATACCCGAGTAATCAGTTCTTCTTGGGGAGGAGTCTTTGAAGTAGAACCTGGAAATCTAAACACATGAGATTGATAAAACTTATTTCCTACTAAAGAAACATGGTAAAAAATTAAAACACAGACACAATGAAAAATCTTCTAATACTGAATTATTAACCGTAAGGTATTACCAACTTACTAGTGGCAGAAGATTAAACAATATTTAAGGCAGGGTAGCTATTGGTTTTGGTTGACAAAAAAACAGGAAAATGATACAGGAAACCTGTGTCTCAATACCATATTCCTACCAATTTTTCCTACGTACTTAATATATACTATATAAATTCCACTGGGGACACAAATGTCTTTGTTGTTATGAATTCACTCTTCTAGAACAAAATTCTTATACTATGGAACTGAAGATAAGTTAAGACTCAGCCTGCTTCTTGTAAAGAAGATAAGTGTGAAGAGCACTGGGGGCAAGTCTGAGGGCTTTAGTAAGAGTCCTGGCTGTGGTACTGAAGAGCTATATGGTCTTACACAAGGCATTTAGCCACTCGGGAGCTGCATTTTTTTCATCTCTAAAATAAAATAACGGGATTAATGAAACCTACTTCAATGAGTTATGTGATGACAAATTAAATGTGAGATATGCATTAAAAGCAAAAGTTTTCATAAATGGTAAAATACTATATAAACATAAGTATCTTTAATTGATGGATATTTTGAAATTACAAAAAGAGGTCACACAAAGTTGGAAACTCATCTAAGCTTATAGATCATTTTATACAACATCTAGTTTTTGTAAATACTTCAGAACTACAAACTCAGAAGGGATGTCTTGGTCTTTAAAAGGGAACAAAGCTGGGAATTCTTTAATTATTACTTGACATAAGTATAAAAATTATCCAAGAACTCTACTATAATGCAAAATAATCTTCAATTGGTCATAAGCTGGGGAAAGCATCTGTAAAAACAAAAATATCAGAATAATGAACTATATACTGAGAGAGGAATAGTTTAGTTATAAGGAACTCACTATAATGGGACCTTACCAATAGCTTATTAAGAAATATTAACAAAGTGCCCCAAATTACCTTAAACCATCTCCAGTATTTCTTGTGGATTCTTCAAAGGGTTGTTTCTTGTCATCTCCTTCAAGACCGTGGTAGAGCTCATCATCAAGAGGGCTCATAGGGCCTTGAGATTCCTTCAGTAATAAAATATGAATCACATACATAACAGAATATTACTTAACTATAAAAAAGAAAGAAGTACTAAAACATATTACGACATAGACGAACCTTGACAACGTTATGCTGTGAGAGAAGCCAGATACAAAAGACCACATACTGTAAGATTTCATTTATATGGGATATCCAGAATGGAGACAGGCAACAGACTGGTGGCTGTGAGGGACTGGGGACAGGGGGTTCTAGCTTAATGGGTATGGGGTTTTCTTTTGGGGTGATGAAAATACTTTCTAACTAGATATAAAATATGTATATATTAAATGTCACTGTATAATATACTTTTAAATGGCTAGCTTTATGTTATTTAATTTCACCAAAACAATAGAAAAGGAAGCACCTTAAGTTTGAAAAGAAAAAGGTAAACCAGAAGAAGGAGAGGTGGACCACTTCTGAATGATCAGCCACAAAATCCTTATGAATAGTAGTGGAACATTAATATAGTGTTGGAAGATAAGACCCTCAGGTTGCAAGCCACTGAAATATGAATGGGGAAGAGTTTCCTCCTCAAAATAGAGGACCTTAAATGACGTGGATGGAGCAAAGCTTTTGCAATCTTATTTGCTGAAGTGACACAACTCAAAAGAGAAAAAAACAGCTTCAAGGATCCATTAATAATCACAACATAAAATATATAAAGTATGAAACTGGAAAATTGGAAGTCAAAAATGAAATGGAATGCATAAAGATCAATATCCTTGGCATTGGCTGATTGGTGGTTGTAGATTGGTGGCTGTGTGCCACTGAGTCAGTTCCAACTTACAGTGACCCTGTATAGGGGTTCTGAGGCTGTAAATCTTTAAGGGAACAGAAAGCCTCATCTTTCTCCTGTGGAGTGGCTGGTAGATTTGAACTGCTGACCTTTTGATCAGCAGTCCAGCTCATAATCCACTATGCTACCAGGGCTCCTTATCCTAGGCATCAGAAAGCTGAAATGGAATGGTATTGGTCATTTTGTATCAGATACTCTTATGGTTTACTACTCTGGAAATGACAAACAAGATGAATGGCATCACATTCATCATCAAAAAGAGATTTCCAAGATCTTGAAGTACAAAGCTGTCTGTTGTAGAATAATATCCATATGTCTACAAGGAAAACTAGTTAATATCACTATTATTTAAATTTATGTATCAACTACTAAAGCCAGTGATGCTGAAATTGACCAAGTTTTTCAGTCTGAAATTGATGAAACATAATCAGGATGCAATGATGATTACTGGTGATTGGAAGGCAAAACTTGGAAACAAAGAGCAATGATCAGTAGTTGGAAAATATGCTTTTGGTGGTAGAAATCATGATGGAGATTGTTTATTCATTGCAAATACCTTTTTCAACAACACAAATGGTGACTATGCACATGGACCTCACCACATGGAATACACAGAAATCAAACTGACTGTATCTGTGGAGACAATGCAGAAGCACAAATTTGTCACCCCAAACAATTCATCACCCAAATGTAGACCATCAATTGCTCATATATAAGTTCAGGCTGAAGCTGAAGAAAATTAAGTCAATTTCATGAGAGCCAAAATAAGATCATGAATATATATTCACCTGAAGTTAAGAGACCATCTCAAGAACAGATTTGCTGCACTAGACACTAACGTCTGAAAACCAGAAGAGCTGTGGGATAACATCAAGAACATCATATATGCAGAAAGCAAAAGGTCATTATAAAGACAGGAAACAAAGAAAAGACCAAAATGGATGTCAGAATAGACTCTGAAACTTGCTCTTGAGCAGAGACGCTAAAGCATTTGGAAGAAATGAGGGAGTAAAAAGATATGAACAGAAATTTCAAAGGGTAGCTTGTGAAGACAAAGTCAAATATTATAATGAAGTATGCAAAAGACCTGAAACTAGAAAATCAAATGGTAATATGCTCAGCATTTGTCAAGCTGAAGGAACTGAAGGAAAAATTCACGCCTCTACTTGAAATATTGAAGGATTTCATGAGCAAAATACTGAATGATGCAGAAAGCACCAAGAGAAGATGGAAGGAATACACAGAGTTACTGTACCTAAAAGAATTGGTTGATGCTCAACCACTTTAAAAGGTATCATATGATTAAGAACTGATGGTATTGAAGGAAGAAGTGCAAGCTGCACTGAAGACATTGGCAATAAACATGGTACCAGGAATTGATGGAATACAAATTGAAATGTTTCAACAAACTGATGCAGTGCTGGAGGTACCTACTCAACTATGTAAGACACATGGAAGACAGCTACTTGAGCAGCGACTGGAAGAGATCTGTATTTGTGCCCACTCCAAATAATGCAAGAAGCTGGATTATATGAAAAAATGTGATCAGGGTTGAAGGAAGACTCATTAAAAATCTGTGATATGCACATGACCCAATCTTGCTTGCTGGAAGTGAAAAGGACTTAAAATCTTACTGATAAAGATCCAAGACTACAACCTTCAGTATGGATTGCACCTTAGTCTAATGAAAACCAAAATCCTCACAACTGGATCACAAAGAGCATATGATAAATGGAGAAAATATTGAACTTGTCTAAAACTTCATTTTGTTTGGATCCACAGTCATGGAAGTGGAAGTTAAGAAGTCAAATGTATTGCATTAGGAAAATCTGCTGCAAAATGCCTCTGAAATATTCAGGAGCAATGATGTCAGTTTGAAGACTAAGGTGCGCTTGATCCAAGCCATCATATTTTCAATTGCCTTGTAGGTATGTGATAGTTGGACAACGAATGAGAAAGACCAAAGAAGGATCGATGCAGTTGAATTATGGTACAAGGAAAGGAAGTTGAAAGCACCGTGGACTGTCAGAAGAACAAACAAATCTGTGTTGGAAGAAGTATACCCAGAATGCTCTTTAGAAGTGGGGTTGGTGAGACTTTGTCTCTCATTCTTTGGACATGTTGTCAGGAGGGACCAGTTCCTAGACCAAACATCAAGTTTGGTAAAGAAGATTCCAACAAGATATACTGACATAGTGGCAACAACAGTGGGCTCAAACTTAAGGACAATTGTTAGGATGGTGCAGGACTGGGCACTGTTGCATTCTGTTGTGCACAGGGTCACTATGAGTCAGAACCGATTCAACGGCATCGACCAATACCAAAAATCAACATTATTAAGATGAGGGGGCAGGTACACATATATTTCTACTGGAGATGAAGTTTGAAAGGTCCTTTAGAGATTAGCGCCTCTCAAACTTTAACATGCATACATGTCAACTGGGGATTTTGTTAAAATGTACGTGGTCGGTGCAAGATTCTGTTATTTCTAATAACTTTCAAGGTAATGCGGATGTGGTTGGTCTGTGGATCACACTTTGAGCAGCCAAGTGTTTATGTATTATATTCCCTTAATTCATCTGGTATTTAACAGATAATGAATTACTGACTTGCCACGCTTATGGTAGGAGGGAATTAGAAATAACATGAACACATTTTAAAGTTCAAGGTTAAAAACTACTATCACTTGAAAATTACTTTGAAACGAGAAAGGACAAAACTTCCCATGTAAAACAGGCTCAATTCAATTTCTAGAAATTTGAAATTCAACAGCAAGACAATTTTATAACATATACATTTACTGACTAAAGCAAAGTAACACTATTTATAAACTGCATAAGGACACTTTTTCATAAGGACAAAGAAGGACTACAGTATCAAAGAATCTGGCACATTTTCCAAAGCAAACTCCAATTTAAAGGATCTTTTCAAAAATTCAATAAATTTGAGATCAACCTAAAGATTTAGTTCTTCTCTTAGATACGATGAAGTGGGGAAGAGCATTGGCTGAACACTGTTAGGCATTGTCACTACCCTAAACTTTTAAAGGGTAGTGACAATGCCTAACGGTATTTAGGAGTTCTGTGGTGTGGCGCTGTGGGTTAATGCGCCAGACTGCAAACCTGTTTGAACTGCAAGGTCAGTGGTTCAAGTTGCTCCTCGAAAACCCTATAAAAGGTTGCTATGGGTCAGAACCGACTCGACAGCACAACAACAAATTTTTAAAAATAATTGGGTTTCATTTTAAGAATATTCACAGTAAATATGTACCAATTCAAATTTCCACATGAACAATTCACTGATTCCCATCAATTCATCACAGCTAATTACATTACTATCTAATATTTTGAGTTCCTATTGTCAATTTTGGAGTCCTGGTGTGGCGCTGTGGATTAATGCGCCAGACTGCAAAGCCGTTTGAACTGCAAGGCCGGTGGTTTGAGCTTACCAGCTGCTCCTCGGAAACCTATACAGGATTGCTATGGGTTGGAACCAACTCGACAGCACTTCACAACAATTGTCAATTTGATTCCATATAGATAGATCGTAAAAGAGCTTAATGCTCAAGATAGGCATTCTTTACTAGTTAAGGTAAACTGCTATTTGGGTTTAAGAAAACTTGAGGGGATATTTTTGGTTTAAGGTTTAAAGATTATTGTCAGGACATAATCTTTCAGGGGCTCACCCAATCAACATGGCTCCAGAACGTCTAGAGTCCATTAAAATCTGAAATTCTGTTCTTTATTTTCCCCCCTTTTGATCATTATTTTGCTATGGAATCTTTGACCAAAATGTTCAGTAATGGTAGCTGAGTATCATCCAGTTCATAACAAAGGAGGCAGCTGTTCATGGAGGCACTTAGCCACACATTCCATATTTCCTTCCTATTCCTGAGTTAGAACAGAAGCAATGAACATGTTATTTGGCCAATTAACTGAGATGTTCTACAAAATCATGACCTTAATCCCTTCAAACTAGGAACTGAATCCCATGAGTGTTTGGTTGTATAAAAGAGCCTCCGTAGTCATTATTTTTTCCTTAACTAAATATGAAACAAAAATTTTATGTATCATAACAATCATATATTAGATTTAAATTCTACCCATATCCCAAGAATTCTAGAGTCTGGATTTCTACCGTCAATACTAAATGAGTCTTTCTAGCTTCATTAATTTAGTTCCAGGCTTTTATACAATGATACCTACTAAAATTTTTTTTAATCTAGTTCAATTATCTAAAAACAGTTAAGAGGACCTATCTATTAATTCATATTATTACCAAACCAGTTAATTACTTACAGTTTCTTGTTGAGCACTAAGTCCAAGTGTTTCAGCAACAACTGTAGCTAAATTAAAAGATGACTTATCAGTAGAGTAACTGCTTGTCCCATATGTTTCTAAATAGGAAAAAAAAAAACAGAAAACCCCAACTATTATAACTATTACAGGAATGGAATGAACACATAAAGAGGAACGAAAAAGGCTCAAAGAATCACTTCATAAGATGGCACTGAACACATTTTTAAATTCTTTGCAGGTATGTCCAAAACAGCCACTATAAAATTTGTAATGAACTGTAGGCATCTAGAGTCCATACTTATTACACTTTGTCAGCTGTTTTCTCTCTTTTTTTACGTGACTGAAATGCAACAACAGGTAGATTGTTTTTTGATTGCCAATGAAAACCATCATAAAATAATCCATATTTACTATGGATTAGTTATGACCTAAGATACAGCAGGAATAGTACACTATAATTATAGCACGCTTCATGACAGCATACATGTGAGAACAATTCGCAACACTGAATACTTTTCAAGTCGCAAGCCAATGTTTATATAGAAATCACCTGTGTTCAATTATTTCATAGTTTTATGCATGCAGAATTTCAATACCTCAACAAGTATTTATAAAGCACCTACCATGCTAGGCAAGATATGAAAAGGAAATGTTCTCATCCTCAAGTAGTTTATGAGCTACAGTTCAAACAGAAAGGTAAAATGAGAACTACAAGAAAATGTGATAAGCATTATAATAAAGATGTAGGCTAGGGATAATTAAAATATAGAGGAAGGAACTCCTGAATGTGTCTTAAATAATCAAGAAAAGCTATACAAAGCAATGCCTAAGCTGACCCCTGGAAGAAGGAATTGAACAAGTCAACTGGACTGGGAGTAGAGAGGAGATTCAAATCTAGGCATGTTTTATGGTCTAGATATGTATGAAACAAACTTACACGTTCAATTACTAGAAATCAAAGTGCAAAATAAGGAAATAGGAGATGAGCCCAGACAGGTAGATTAGAGATTAGATCGTGCTAAGGAATTTAGAATTTATTTTGTAGGCAATGAAAAAATGTTTAAGTGCTTTAAAATGGAGAGCAGATGCAATATTTGTATTACAAAGATAATACTGGTGGGCAACATAGACATTGGCTACCTAAAATGAGGAGGTGATAAAGGCACAAAGTGACTGGCTTATAAGCTTTCAAGGAGGAGTTTAGTTTTAGAGTGTGTGAGGGAAGACAAAGTCTCCACTGAATAGTTTTCATCTTGTCTAGATGGGTCTGGTAAAAAGAGATGGGGATAAGATTCTTATGGTTCAATAGTGAGTATTTTTATTATGTCTAATTGTGACTGTCAAAATTGTAAAAGAAGTTTTGTAACAAAAACAGGGGAGTAGTTCATCTTACAGTCCAGAAACAGATTACCCTAAGACCATCAAGGAAGAAGAGCACAAGTGGAATGAGAGACCTTATCCAGAGAAGCAGCAACACCAGAGATGGAGGCAGAGGTGGTGACATGGAGAGAGGGAATATCTGAGGACTCTAGATTCATGGAAAGAGAGTGACTGAGAGCTGGTGGCTAGGAGGCAGACTTGCAGAATGTATGTGCCCTTTGGTGGTGTAAATTACTATATATGCCTGAGTGTAAAAAAAAAAAGAGCTAAAATGAATAGAGAGAAATACTGGTAACTGATGGTACATGGAGGGGATTATAATCATTGTAATGAAACAAGGTATATGATTTGTTGAATGTAAAACTGAGGATCTGCCCTGTAAACTTGCACTCAATTCAGAATAAAGGAACAATAATTAACAGACGGGATACTAACAAGATTACTAAACAGTCTTGATGAGATACTGAAAACCTCTACTAGTACAATGGAATACAAAAAAAAACACATGTAACAAGTATGTAACATGTGAACTCAGTAAGAGGGAGAGACGGTTTTAAATAGGATAAATGAAGAAGCAGGAGTCTAGGGTGATTCAGTTGTCTGATTTAGGAAATTCAGAGAGGTACTTTGTAGTATCATTTGCTGAGATTGTAAATATAAGGAAAAAAAGTCGTTTTGCCCAAAGTTTCAGTTTAGGATATGGTAAAGCTGAAAGATATCCAGGTGGAAAAATTCAACAGAAGGCAGATACACTGGTCTGGAATCCAAGAGACAAGTCAGACAGAGATACAGATTTGGGATTTATTATCAAATGGTGGTAGCTGAAGTACTGGCTCTGGATAGCAACCCTTCAGGAAGAGAAAGAAAGTGAGATAAGAGTAAGTAAGTCAAGGAGCATATTGGGAAACAGCCACATTTAAGAGGCAGATGGAAGAAGAGCCAATAAAGGTAAGGGAAAAATTAAACCAAAAACACAAATAAAAAGTAAGACAACCAAGAAGAGTGAGACCACTTCAACAAACAGTAATCAGTAATGTCAAATGTTACAGAAAGGTCAAGTAAGCAAAGGACTGGGAAGTAGTCATTTGATTTACCAATCAAGCCATTAGTGATTTGCCAGAGCAGGTGTAGTGAGTGAGAGAGAGTGTTAAACGTGTTCTTTCTCTCTCCCTCCATCCTCCAATTCTCTTAATAAATAGCAACTCTATTCTTACTGCTGTATCCTTCACTCCTTGCTCCAAGCATATCATTGGCCCCCTTTAATGTTCCTAAAACAAGCCAATTGGTGCTTTCAACTTAATGTCTTTTCACTTGCTGATTTCTCTACCTGGGATGACCTCTCCAGAAATTCACATAGCTCACTTGCTTCCTCAGTGGATGCTCAAGTATCAGTTTATGGGCTCAATATCCCTTCATACCAAGGTTTACTTGCTTCCACTTGCTTGTCTTCATATAACATATATTTGTTTGTTTCCTTCTCCCCCAACTAGCCTGAAAGTTCCATGGGGGCAAGAACTTTGTTTTCAAATTCAGTGCCTGGTACACAGTACTCAAAGATTTGTTGAATGAATGAGTAAACGACAGTAACACCTTCTTTACTTAAGATCATTAACAATACACATTGACATGGACAGGGATATTAACACATATTAATTATAATTTAACCTTACTTTCCGTATGAAAAGGACCGATAAACAACTAATAATACAGTTATTTTTCAAATGGATATATGGAAAACAATTTCCAAAATTATCTAGTTCAGAGTGCTGCCCATTCCTGATCACCATTATTATAAATTTTAAACTGTAAAGTAATCTCAGTATTTTTCTTACTAGCCATGGGAGATTGACTTTGATTGCAGGTATCAGTCACTAGAATTTCACTTTCATTAGGGTTATGCAGTGGATGAGCTGAAGACTTCGGATCTTTTCTCAAGTCTACAAGAAAAAGAGAAATTATATATAAGCATAAAATAAAGAAAAACATCAACATTTTTACAAATTCTTTGCTGTAAAGTTGATTCAGACTCATAGCACACCCTATAGGACAGAGTAGAACTGCCCCCATAGGATTTCCAAGGCTGTCATCTTTATGGAAGCAGACTGTTACACTTTTCACTCCTGAGCTTGTGGTTTTGAACTGTTGGCCTTTTGGTTAGCAGCCAAGCATTTAACCACTGTACACCAGTATAAACTTGTCTTTAAAGAAATTACAAGAATGATTTTACTGATACAATTTTTATATTCTAAGACGTAAACTCCTTTAGTATCACTATGAAACAAAGCTGGAAGTTAAGACAACTGGAGCAAGAACATTAAACTATATAAGCTTTTCTGACTTAAGGTGCCTCTAGTTGAAAAATGTTAATGCTTCTTTTCCTTGTGTATTTAACACAGAACAGTAGGTTCATTAAAAATGTATATATCTCTGCAATCTTTCTTTTAAAAGTTTTTATTTACTGGAAGGAAACCTTGAAACATTCTTATCAGAAATCACTCAAAGAAAGACAAAGCAGAAGGGGCAAAGATCTTTACTAATTATAGCTAGGGAGTCCTGGTGTAGTGCTGTGGGTTAATGTACAAGGTCAGCAGTTCAAGCTCATCAGTCACTCCTCAGAAACCCTACACAGGGTTGCTATGGGTTGAAGCCGACTCTATGACACTACACAACAAAACAACAATTATTGCTAGAATACTGAAAAGCATTGTAAACTTTGCATAGCAGTTATGAATCAGGCTGCGAACCGCAAGGTCAGCAGTTCAAAACTACCAGCTGTTCCGCGGGAGAAATATGAGTCTTTCTGCTCCTGTAAAGATGTACAGCCTCAGAAACCCTGTACAGGGTCGCTATGAGTCGGAACCGACTCCACGGTATATAACCACCACCAGAAGAAGAAAGGGACAGAGGAATCAGTTTTGTAGTACTTTCCATGGCTCAAAAGTTACCTTATATTTTCCGATTCTAAGTAAAAATGATCAGAATAAGATTAAAACTGATCAAGTTTAAAATAGTTTTATGTTGTTCTCATACAATGAAGCATTTGACCAAAAGTATTTATACTGAATGCTCCTTGGAAGTGAGAATGGTGAGCTTTGTCTCACATACTTGGGACATGTCATCAGGAGAGAGCAGTCTCCTGGAAAAGGACATCATGCTTGGGAAAGTGGACGCTTAGTGAAGGAGAGGAAGTTCCTCCATGAGATGGGCTGACTCACTGGCTGCAAAACTCTACTCAAACATGACAATTGTGAGGAGGGCGCAGGACCAGGCAGTGTTGCATTACTTTGCACACAGGGTCACCATGAGTCGGAACTTACTCAACAGTACTTAACAACATTTATACTGAATACAAAAGCTGTCCTTATAAAGAAAATTATTGTAATTTGTTTTCTGATTATTTTTATTCACAGATATAAATAATCAAAATTTATAGATGTTTATCTATAATAATTTTTGTCTTGTCTGATAGACTAAAATGTTAATGGAGCTTCTTTTCATGCTGACAGAGTTCCCACAATCACGGTGAACGTTCCTAAAACCCACGGGACTTTCTGTAAGAAGTGTGGTAAGCAGCAACTCCACAAAGTCAAACAGTAAAAGAAGGGCAAAGATTCTCTGTACGCCCAAGGAAAGCATCGTGATGACAGGAAGCAGAGTGGATATGGTAGGGAGACTAAGCCAATTTTCCATAAGAAGGCTAAAACTACAAAGAAGATTGTGTTGGGGCTTGAATGTGTTGGGCCAAACTGCAGATCCAAGAGTATGTTGGCTATTAAGAGAGGCAAGCATTCTGAACTGGGAGGAGATAAGGAGAAGGGCCAGGTGATCCAGTTCTAAGCATCATCTTGTTTTATTATTAAAACAAAATTGTGATGTTATATTAAAAAAAAGTCAATGGATGTTCAGTTTCAAAATTTCATTTATCTCCTAATTATGAGTAAGATTTTGCACAGTTCATTTGCTTTCCACTAGATGGTGATGCAAGCTCAAATAAAAGGGGAAGAAAAAAGTTCCAGAGTCTTCAAATATCCTCCTTCACAAGAAATTGAACAAAAACTTGATGAAATATGCTAATTCTCCAATGTCAAAGAATAAGGACTTCTGGTGTGGCACTGTAGCATCAGCACTGGAATGTGAGCCACAAGGCTGGCAGTTCAAACCCACCAGCTGTTCCTTGAAAACCGTAACAGGGTTGCTATGAGAACCAACTCGATGGCACTTAACAATTTTTTTTAATAAGCAGATGTTCATACAAGTGCAAATACATTGGCATTAGTCTAGCCTATTGATAATTTATTTGCATTTGTATAAACATCCTAAAGGAGCTCTGATAGCATAGTGGTTACGAATCGGGCTGCTAATCTCACGGCCAGCAATTCGAAATTACCAGCTGTTCCGAGGGAGAAAGATGAGGTTTTCTGCTCCCGTAAAGATATACAGCATCAGAAACCCTGTACAGGGTAACTATGAATCAGAACTGACTCCACGGCACACAACAACGAACATCTCTAAGACTATGCAACCCTGTTCCCAAACACTTTCCTTGTTATAGATTTGTTGTTGTTGAGTGTCATCAACTCATAGTGACCCCTATGGAGTTTTCGAGACTGTAAATCTTTGCAGCCAAGTCTCATCTTCCTGAGACTTCCTGAGCGGCTGGTGGGCATGATGTTCTGGGTCACCGTCCAGTGCATATACTACAGAGTCATGGCACTCCTTGTTATTGTTTAGGTTAAAAGTCTTTATAATTTAGCTTAATATTAGAAGAAAAAAACCATAATATAAGAAGAAAAAAATTATTATAAGTTGGTGGTGGTGTGCCACTGAGTTGGTTCTAACTCATAGTGATCCCGTATAGCATTTCGCCTCATCTTTCTCCCACAGAGCAACTGTAATTCAAACTTCTGACTTTACGGTTAGCAGCTCAGCTTGTAATCAACTACATTATGAGGGTTTCTTGTATTATTATACTAATATTAATTCACAGTGCCACACCAGGACTCTGTATTATATATTACATGATAAACTACTGGTGTGGTGCTACAGGATAAGCACTGAACAGCAAGGTCGTTTGAACCACAAGGCTGGTGGTTAAAACTCACCAGCTGCTCCTCAGAAACCCTATACAAGTTACTATGAGTCAGAAACGACTTGATGGTACTTAACAATACATGAGACAACTATTTCAGAGGACTTAATTAAAAGCGGTCTAAATTTAATTAATGTGCAAATACTACCCTTTAGATCTTAGACAGTTAATTGTTTTATGGAGTATGTACCTCCCTATTGTTACTTTCCCTTTCTAGACCTGTCTATTATTTGGCTTTAAGTGGTGCCACAGGGGTGAGCTCCCTTCTATACATGAAGGATGGGCTACAGTCATGGGGGTTCCAACCATCTCTACCCAACAACTGAGCCTGGTCTTATTTATGATTTTGAGTTTTGTTCCACATTTTCTCCCACTCTATCCAGGGCTTTCTAATGTGATCCTTTCAGAGGAGTCACAAGTGGTAGCCAGGCACCATCTAGTTCTTCTGGTCTCCAGGTCGTGGAGATTGACGGTTGTGTGTTCTTTAGAGCTTTAGACTAACTGCTTCCATGTGTCTCTGATTTTCTTCACTCTTCTTTGCTTTGGACATGGAGAAACCAATAGTTGTACCTAAGATGGTCACTTACTTGTTTTTAAGGTCCTAACATTACTTCCTGAAGTAGGACGTAGTCCCTGGAGACCATGGTTCTGAGCCACAGCCCTAGCATTACCATTAACTGCTACAAATTATAACAAAAATAATTAGTTAAAGATAGCTCCAATGGTGGAATAGGTATGGCAAGAACTTTAAAGAGTATAAAAATTCAGAGCTTGTTGTTCCTAAGTGTCATTGAGTTGGTTTCAATACATAGCGATCCTGTATAGGGTTTCCAAGGTTTGAACCACCAGCCTTCTGGTTAGCAGTTCAGTGCTTACCTTACCACACCAGGCCTCAAAGTTTATAGCTGGGAATATGTCAATTATGACTCATCTAATTACTTGATTAGTGATCTTGGATAAATTATTTAATCTCTCTTGGGCTTACCTTCTCCTCAACGATGCAAAACAGTAGCAATAGCTACTTTACAAGACTGTTATGAGAATTGAAATATTCTAATAATGTATGCAATTCAACTGTCAGTTTCTTATGTGTTGCTGTGATTCTGGAAGCTATGCCACCAGTATTTTAAATACCAGCAGGGTCACCCAAGGTAGACAGGTTTCAGCTGAGCGTTCAGATGAATACAGACTAAGAAGGAGAGATGGACCACTTTTGAGTATGTAGTCACTGAAAACCTTATGAATAACAGTGGACCACTTTCAGATAGTACCAGAATATTGAATACTGAAACATGATAACGAGAACCAGAGTATTTTCAGATATAGTACCAGAAAAATGAGTCCCTCAGGTTGGAAGACACTCAAAATATGACTGAGGAAAGCGCTGCCTGCTCAAAGTTGACTGTGATGACACGAATGGCGTAAAGCCTTTAGGGGCCTTCAGTTGATGATGGGGCACAAGTCAAAATGAAGAGAAACAGCTGAAAACTTCCATTAATAATCAGAACATGGAATGTATGAAGTATGAATCTAGGAAAATTGGAAATTGCCAAAAATGAAATGGAACACAATCAATACCCTAGGCATTAATGAGCTGAAATGAACTAGTGTTGGTTTTGAATATGATAATCACATGGTTTTACTATGCTGGGAATGACAAATTGAGAGGGAATGGTGTCACATTCATCATCAGAAAGAGTATTTCAGGATCTGTCATGAAGTACAATGCTGTTTGTGATATGATAATATCCATATGCCTACAAGGAAGACCACTTAATATCACTATTATTCACATTTTTGTACCAACTGCTAAAGCCAGTGATGATAAAATTGAAGAATTCTACCAATTTCTTCAGTTTGAAATTGATCAAACATGCAATCAAGATTTACTGATAATTACTGGTGATTGGCATGCAAAGGTTGGAAACAAAAGGAAGGATCAGTGGTTGAAAAATATGGCCTTGGTGAGCAAAAAGATGCTGGAGATTTCATGATAAAATTCTGCAAGACCAATGACCTCTTCAATTGCAAATACCATTTCAAACAACATAAAAGATGACTATACACATGGACGTCACCAGATAGAATACACACAGACCAAATTGACTACATATGTGGAAAAAAACAGTGGAAAAGCGCCACATCATCAGCCAAAACAAGGCCAGGAACAGACCATCAACTGCTCATATGCAAGTTCAGGCTAAAGCTGAAGAAAATTAAACCCCTGAGAGCCAAAATATGACCTTGATATATACCTCCTGAACTAAGAGGTCATCGAAAGAATAGACTGGCTGCATTAGACATAAAGACAGAAGACTAAAAGAATTGTGGGATGACATCAAGAACATTATACAGGAAGAAAGAAAAAGGTCACTGAGAAGATAAGAAAGAAGGAAAAGACCAAAATAGATGTCCGAAGAGACGCTTATATTTTCTCTCCAGTGTAGTGATGCTAAAGCAAATGGAAGAAATGAGGAAATAAGGAAATAAAAGAGCTGAATAGAAAATCCAAAAGGCAGCTAAAGAAAACAAGTCAAATACTACAATGAAATGTGCAAAGACCTGGAGTTAGAAAACCAAAAGGGAAAAATATACTCAGCATTTCTCAAACTGAGGGAACTGAGAAAAAAATTCAAGCCTTGACTTAAAATATTGGAAGGATTCCATGAGCAAAATATTGAATGATGCAGAAAGCATTAAAGAAGATGGAAGGAAGACACAGAATCACTGTACCAAAAAGAAATGGTTGATGTTCAACCATTTCAAGAGGTAGCATATGACCAAGAGCTAGTGATACTGAAGGAAGACGTCCGAGGTGCATTCAAGGAATTGGCAAAGAACAAGGCTCTAGGAAATGACAGAATACAAACTGAAATCTCTCAACAAACTGATGTGGCACTGGAGAAAATCACTCATCTATGCCAAGACATTTGGAAGACAGCTACCTGGTCAACTGACTGGAAGAGATCCATATTTGTGCCCATTCCAAAGAGAGGTGACCCAACGGAATGTGGAAATCATCAGACAATATAATTAATATCACGTGCAAATAAAATTTTGCTAAAGATAATTTTAAAAATGGCTGCAACCATACATTGACAGAGAACTGTCAGAGGTTTAAGCTGGATTCATAAAAGGATGTGGAATGAGTGATATCACTGCAGACATCAGATGGATCTTGCTGAAAGCAGAGAATACCAGAAAAATGTTTACCTGTGCTTTATTGACTATGCAAAGGCTTTCAATTGTGTGGGTCATGACAAGCTATGGACAACATTGCAAAGAATGAGTATTCCAGAATGCTTAATTGTGCTCATTATGAGGAATCTGTATATAGACCGAAAGGCAGTTGTTCGAATAGAACAAGGGAACTCTCAATGGTTTAACATTAGGAAAGGTGTACACCAAGGCTGTATCTTCCATCATACTTACTCTTATGTGTACGTTGAACACATAATCCAAGCAGCTGGATTATATGAAAAATGTGGCATCAGGATTGGAGGAAGACTCATTAACAGCTTGTGATGTGCAGGTGATACCACCTTGCTTGCTGAAAGCAAAGAGGACTTAAAAACTTAACTGATGAAGATCAAAGACCACAGCCTTCTGTATGGATTACATCTCAATATAAAGAAAACAAAAATCCTCACGACTGTCCAATAAACAGCATCATGATAAGTGGAAAGAAGACTGAAGTTGTCAAAGACTTCATTTGACTAGGATCCATCAACACTCATAGAAGCAAAGAAATCAAATGACATACTACATTACTAATGCACAAGACCTCTTTAAAGTGTTCAAGAGCAAAGATGTCAGTTTGAGAAATAAGGTGACCTGTTTCAACAGTCTCATCTGCATGTGAAACAACAATGAATAAGAAAGATCATAGAAGAATTGATGCACTTGAGTTATGGTGTTGGAGAATATTAAAAGCACAGACAAATCTGTGTTAAAAGAAATACAGCCATGATGCTCCTTGTAAGCCAGGATGGCCAGACTTCATCTCTCATACTTTGGACATATTGTGAAAAGTGACCAGTCCCTGGAGAAGGATATCATGTTTGGTAAAGTGGAGAGTCTGAGAAAAAGAGGAAGACCCCGAGATGGATTGGCCCCATGGCAGCATCAACAGGCTCAAATGTAGCAATGATTGTGAGGCTGGCATAAGACTGGCAAGTGTTTCTTTCTGCTGTGCCTAGGGTCCCTATGAGTCAGTATTGAGTCAATGGCACATTAACAACAATAATAATGTATGCAAAGCACTGAGTATAATACAGGGCACACAGCTAGTAGATATTAGCAAGTTTCTGTCTTCTTTCCTATTATCCCACTCAGATGTACATATATATATATATATATATATGAATATTTTTCATATAAAAATTCATTGTCTTAATGAACTGATGAATGTTTACATAAATAGGTTAACACATGTCCAGCTTACTAGTCATTTTACAAATGGCACTAAGAACTTTGGTACAGTCAATTACTTAACTTGCTTCTATGTCTGTGTTGGAGTCCTGGTGTGGCACTGTGGGTTAATGAGCCAGAGCTAGAGTGCTAACCAGTTGCTCCTTGGAAACCCTATACAGGGTCACTATGGGTTGGAACCAACTAGACAGCGCTTAACAACAACAACATATCTGTGTTAAAGTCCCTTTTTGGAGTGAGTCGCCTGTTATGATAATGAGGTTGGATTAAGTTGGAATACAGGTTGATGTAGCACTGTAGAATAAGCATCAGACTGCTAATTGCAACGTCAGTGGTTCAAGCGCACGAAAAACCTACACAGGGTCACTATGAGTTGGACCTGACTGGAGGACACAACTTTTTTTAATTCAAGGGTTACTACCCTCACCTTTCGCTATGAGTTGGAACTGACTCCATGGCACATAACCACCATCACTACTCTCACACCTTAGTTTCCTTGGGAGTATCGTCTGCAAATTGATGTCTTTGTTAAAATGAGAAATAATTTCCTGTTTTGAGAAGTTCCCTTACTTAGCAAACTACCAGTTTCCTGCTTAATTAAGAAAATCATGAGGCTGGGGTCAGAGAACTGGCTAAGACCAGATCTGGTCCATCACACAGCATACACAGTATGTTCTCAACCTGATCTTTTGAAAGCACACCACCATCAGTGCCCCAGATGTGGGTAAAATGCTATCTTTATAACCTCTCTTCTTGATTGAGGATGCAAAAAAAGACTAGGGTTGAATCATCCCAATGAACACCAATCAGATGGCAATGATCAACCTATAAAATCCCTGGACCAGGGCCTCAGTAGTCATTTTGGAGATGTGAGTCTAACGTGCGTATTTTTTTTTTGCTTTTGGTTCTATAGCAGCTTGAGCAACTACAGCAAAATTCACTCTCGTGCTTTGGATCCTGAGTCTGGCTTGCCTCCATCTGACCTCCGTTTCTTGGGACTTGAGCTGGGTGGGTGTATTGCCTGAAATGATTTGCAAGCTTCTGTAGCCTGTGAATCAACAGCCTGGTTTGGTATGAGAGAGAAGAATCCTCCAGACTAATGTCTAAACTATAGATTTGGGACTCACCACAGCTCTGGTAGCGTAGTGGTTACGACTCGGGCTGTGAACCGCAAGGTCAGCAGTTCGAAACTACCAGCTGCTCCGCGGGAGAAAGATGAGGCTTTCTACTCCCGTAAAGATTTACACCCTCGGAAACCCTGTACAGGGTCACTATGAGTCGGTTCCGACTCCACGGCACATAACAACAACAACAACCCTCCATAACCAAGTGAGCAATTTCTTTGATAATTTGTGAGTTCTGTAAGATGCTGCAGTGAACTGAGGAATCCTGGGACGTGAGAGAGAACACTGAGGGGAGGAGTGCTGGTTGATATCAGAGATTGTGGAGTGGTATAGCATTTTGGAAAAGTCAGACATCCCAGGATATCTTTAGCCTCCACCTCATAAGTGCCATCATAATGCTGACCTTTCTAAAAGAAAAAATTCGTATAGAACTTTTACATTAAAATCACATTTATAAGTAATCTACAACAAAGATTATCTTCCATTGGATTGAACAACATAAAAATATAATAACAGACAAGTTTTTCACAAAACCTGACATCTAAAATGCAATTGCTAATTCTTACCATTTGTACATGCAGAGTGCTCCAGTTTAGTATGTATTTGTTCTACATATCGAACATGGAGATTCTCCTTTCTTCGTAATCGGTTAACTCCAGAAAATGAAAAAGCTGTTATTGGTGAATCTGGAATACTATTTTCCTCAGATTCAAGTTCAGATGCTTGATGCTGCTGATCACTCCTAGAAGAAAATGACAAAGTGAAATTAATTCAACATACATTAATTGAAACAGCTACTATACAGAAAAAGTGATCCTAATTCTTTAAGAACTTTTCCAAAAAGAAGAAGGAACACTTCCCAACACATTCTATGGAACCAGTTTTACTTTGATGCCAAATCCAGACAAACACACCATTATAAATAAGAAAATAACTGGCCAATAATCCCTTAAGAATGTAAATACAACAGGAACCTTAGGAAGTATTCAGTTTTGCTGTGTATATTATCAACAACAAAAATAATTAAGTTCTATAAAAAATGAATACAGACACAAGAATGCTGAAAAAAATACTATTATTAAAAATATCATGGGCTACAGAAGAACAAACAAATCTGTGGTGGAATAAGTACAGCCAGAATGCTCCCTAGAAGTGAGGATGGCAACACAAAAATCAGTGAGGTTTTTATATATCATAAATGAGCAAGTCAAAAATAAAATTAAGAAAACAATTCTATTTATAATAGCATCTAAAAGGATGAAGCACCTAGCAATCAATTTTACCAGAGGTGAAAGCCTTATATGATGAAAACGACTTTCTCCTGCAGAGAAACCACCTACCTTATTATTAACAGCCCACTGCTTAACACATTGTGTCACCTGGGCAGCTTGAAAGGAACGAGAACACTGAATGGTTTAAAATCAGGAAAAGTATATGTGACAGGGTTGTATTCTTTCACCATACATATTCAATCTATACTTGGAGCAAATAATTCAAGAGGCTGAAATATATGAAAAAGAGTGAAGCAACAGGGTTACTCATAAATGAATACTCACTAACAACCTGCAATATGCAGATGAGACAACTTTGTTTGCTGAAAGCCAAGAAGACCTAAAATACTGATGAAGATCAAAGAGCACAACCTTCCATATGGGTTGCACCTCAATGTACAGAATACAAAAATCCTTACCACTAGGCCAATAAATAACAACATGATAAACAGTGAAAAGACTGAAGGTGTCAAAGACTTCATTTTGTTTGGATTCACTCATGGAAGCAGCAGTCAAGAAAGAGTTCCTGATGACGCATTAGGTAAATCTGTTGCACAAGACTCTTTAAAGTGTTCAAGAGCAAAGATGTCAGTTTGAGGACTAAGGTGCGCCTGATCCAAGCCATGGTATTTTCAACAGCCTAAGATGCATGCTGAAGTTCAATAAAGACTGTAGAAGAATTGATGCATTTGAGTTATGGTGTTGGAGGAGAATATTGAAAGAACTATGGACTATCAGAAGAACAAACAAATCTGTGTTAGAAGAAGTACAACCAGAATGCTCCTTGGAAGCCAGAATGGCGAGACTTCCTTATAAATAAGGATGGTGAGACTTCATCTCTCATACTTCAGGCCTATTATCAGGAGGGATCAGTCCCTGGAAAACATCATGCTTGGTAAGGTGGAGGGTCAGTGAAAAAGAAGAAGACCCCCAACGAGATGGATTAGCACAGTGTCAGCAGCAGTGGGCTCAAGATTAACGATTCTGAGGATAGTGCAGAACTAGGACTAAGCAGTGTTTCATTCTGTTGTGCAGGAGGTCACTACACTGACTTGACAGCACCTAACAACAACAAATAAACAGAAGGATTCCTTGGCTCCTTGGATGAAAGATTTACTATTACTCAGATGTCAGTCTACCTAAATCTATAACTGAACATAAATACCCATCAAAATTCCAACAATATTCTTCGCAGAAATGGAAAACCAATCTTCAAACTTATATGAACTGCAAGAAACCCTGAATAAGCTAAAATGATCTTGAAAAAGATCAATAGTAAAACTCCTATTTCTTTAGAAATATTTTATTTTTGGTGACAATATACAAAAGCAAACATAAATAATTCACAATTTCAATAACATTGGTTACATACATCATACTGTGTCACCATTCTAACTCTACCCTTAAGGGTTTTGTCACCATTAACTTAGGCTCTCTGTTCCTTAATGTTCTTTCGATGAATTACTGTCAGTTTACACTCACAGGTAATTCTTTATAAGAGTTCTATGCTTCAGGCAAAATTCTTCATTAATGGGACTAAAACTGTTGTTTTAGTTTTTGTCTAAAGTTTAAAGATTATTATCAGGACTTAGACTTGGTGGTTCTTCCAGTCTCAATGAATATTGTTAAGTCTGGTTTAAAAATGAGTTTGAAGTTCTGGTCCACCTTTTTCATTCCTACCAAATCCTCAGTAACTGTAGCCAGGCACCATCCATTTCTTCTTGTGTCATAGTAATGGAGATAAGTAGTTAAAGATGCATTATTTGTTGATTTCAAAATATATTATAAAGCTACATTAATCAAAACAGTCTGGTAACGGTATAGTGCTAGACATATGGTATGGCACTGTGAGTTAGTATGCTGGATTGTATGGTTGGTTTGAACCACAAAGTCGGTGGTTCAAGCTCACTAGGTGCTCCTTAGAAATGCTATACAGATTCGTAGATATGCAGGCTTAGAATTGAGAATCTAAGAAATAAGCCTGCATTTCTACAATCAACTTATTTTCAGTAAGTCCATCCAATGGCAAAAACTAGTCTGTTTAAATTAACAGGACTTGGAGAACTAGAAATCCACAAGCAAAATAATGAACCTAGACTCAAACCTTGAATGATTTGGAACAATTAACTAAAAAAACTGAAGATCTAAATGTAAGAACTGAAATCATAAAACTCTCAGGAGAAATCTTACAAGTAAATAATACTTTTGTTGTTAAGTGTCTTTGAGTCAGTTCTGATTCATAGAGACCTTCTGAGGAGTGGCTGGTGAGCTTGAACTACAGACCTCGCAGTTCAAATTGATCTTGTAGTAGTCCAGCACATTGACCTATAGCGCCACACCAGACACCCTACAAATAATACTTTTGTTTTGTTAAGTGCCGTTGAGTCGGTTCCGACCCATAGCGACCCTGTACAGGGTTTCCGAGGGTGTAAATCTTTACGGGAGTAGAAAGCCTCATCTTTCTCCCGCGGAGTGGCTGGTAGTTTCGAACCGCTGACCTTAAGGTTTGCAGCCCGATTCGTAACCACTACGCTACCAGAGCTCCTTACAAATAATACTTAGGGACTTATTTTTTTTTTAATGCATTTTTAGACATGACACTTAAAACATAAGCAATGAAAGACAAAATAGCTAATTGAAACCGCATCAAAACCAATAAAAACACTTTTGTTGATCAACAGACTTAATTAAAAAAGTGAAAAGAAAGACTACAGATTGGGAGAAAAATAGTAAAAGCAATATATTTCATAAGAGTTAATTTACAGAACATACAAAGAACTCTTAAAATTTAACAAAAAGGCAAACAACCCAATAAAAAATGGGAAGAGACTTAGACATTTCATTAAAGAAAAAACTGAAACAGCCAATAAGCAAGCACATGTAAAGGTGCTCAACATCTCTGGTTGTTGTTGTTGTTGTTAGGTGCCACAGAGTCAGTTTGGACGCATAGCATCCCTTTGTAAAACAGAACCAAGCAGTGACCAGTCCTGCGCCATCCTTACAACTGTTGTTATGTTTGAGTCCATTATTGTAGCCACTGTGTCAATCCATTACATTAAAGATCCTCTATTCACTGACCATCTACTTTACTATGTCCTTTTGCTGTCCTTTCTATGATTTACCAGTTCCCACATAATCTGTTTTCTCTCTCCCCATTATCTCTCTGACATCTTTTCCTTTTGTTTTGTACTCTAGTCACCCTGCTTTCCTTGATGTTCCCACCTTAAGTCCTTTGCTCTAATTATTCCATCTGCTTAGAATATTGTTACCCTAGATAGCCACATGTAATTTACCTCATCTCCTTCAAGTCTCTTGAAATTTCAGTGTCTCATCAAGATCTACCTTGACCACACTATTCAAAATTGTAACTCACTCCCCACACCCTAGTACTCCAGTTCTTTCTTATTTTGCTCTATTTTCTTTGTCTAGATGGCTTTTAAAACCACATAGCATTTAATGATTTCTAACACATTATACAATTATTATTATGTCTATGGCTCAGCTGCTAGAATATAAGCTCTATGAGAACAAAAACCTGTGGTTTATCCCAATGCCTAGTGACACTGCATGAATGAATGACAGATTCCAGTAAAGATATAGATTAGTGCTATCAAGGTATATAAGGAACTCTGATAGCATAGTGGTTACGAATCAGGTGGCTAATCTCAAGGTCAGCGGTTCAAAACTACCAGCAGTTTTGCGGGAGAAAGATGAGGTTTTCTGCTCCCGTTAAGATTTACAGCCTCAGAAATCCTATGCAGGGTCATTATGGGTCAGAATCGACTCGACAGCACTTAACAACAACAACAATCGCGGCATATGTTCTTGCCCAATTCGGTTTAGGACTAAAGATACTAATGTTTGGGTTTGGAATGAACTGTGGGTACCGAGTAAAAGAAAGCTAACTGGCTTTTCCATGTCAAGGTCATGACTGACCAACATGCCAACTGATTCTTACCAGTCAGACACTTAAAGACTTCATGTGAGAAAACCAGTCTATCCTACTATACTCATAAAAATATTATTTCCAATCAAAGCATAACATGAGAATTTTGTAAACCATAACTGGCAGACATATTTAAAATATTAGAAAACAAAAATGAATTTTTCCTAAGAAAGTTTCATGTCTTCATTTCTTAAACATCACGAATATTCTTTGTGCTCTACAATCATAGGTTCTATGTAGAGAAACAATCTTTAGAGCTAACATCTAATTTTTCATCTCTCTCTATAATTATACCATATTACTCTGGAAAAAGAGAGTAAGCCAAAGTCATATGACGACAGTCTTATAAATTAATGGAGTGTGAAATCTATCTGACCTAGCTTTACCTAATCACGTCACAATAAATGCATGTCTGTTTTATTACTCATAAAAATTTCACCTGAAACATGGTTACAAGAAGAAATTGATTTCCTAGCAGAGTCAATCTAGAATAGCTGAGATTACAAAAGGGGTAAAATTTGCTGT